TTTTTTCCTCAGTGTAGCTGGTGGATTTGAACCACATGCCTTTGGGATTACAGTGCAGCTTCTTATCACTAGGCCACCAGTGCTCCCTAACTTATATTCATTTATTCTTTCATCCATTCACATTCACTTAAACCGTATTTATTTTGTGTTAGCTCTGTATGTATCAACAAAAGAGAGGAAGACCCTCAAGGAGATGGAATGGCATAGGGGCTGTAGCAATGGGATCAAATATATTGGAGATGGAGAAGATGGCTCTGGATAGGACAAGGTGCGGATCTGTTGTTCATAAGGTTGATGTGAGTCATAGTTGACTCGACAGCACATAACAACGACAAAAGCACAGTTATTTACTTTCTAGATGCTAGAAATACATCTAAAATGAAAAAAAAAAAGAAAAAAACACCCCAAACACCAAACCAACAAATCACAAACTACAAACACAAAAACCAATTTGGTCAGAGGTCTTTAAATTTGTGTAGAGAAACACAAGTAAAGAGAGCTCAATTAGTAGTTGAAGTTGCTGAGTTATGCAGGAGGAAATATTAATTGTGGTGTTTACATCAACCATCAACCTTCAGATAATCATGAAAACTTTTGTAGAGAAGAGAGATTCCTCTTAATGGAAAAAAGAGAATCTACTCAAGAAGCTCCTAATTTTTGTTATCTGCAAATTTAATGATTTAAATTTAATATGTTTGAGAATGTGGATAGCAATGAGCCTTGAGGGCAGAGGTTTAGCCTGGATTGACTTATGACATTTTTAAACCTATAGTTTCATACAAAGAGCCATTGAGAAAAGTAATGTCACCTTAAATAATAAGCTAAAATGTTTTTTTAGTACCTTCAGATTTCAGTGTGAAAGGGTTTAAGAAATACAGTGAGATGCTCAGATTTTCATTTCTGTAAATTTTCCTCTCTGTAGTGAGAAGTACAATGAGAAGAGTAAGACTGGAGAACAGAAAGCCTATACAGTATTCTAAGCATGAAATTAATGGTGATCTATAATGTGCTAAAGAGCAACAATGTCATTCTAAACATTGAGGTGCACCTAATCCAGGCCATGGTCTTTGCAATTACTTGCTATGTAGCAGAGAGCTAGAAGATGACTAAGGATGACAGAAGAATTGATGCCTTTGAGTTCTGGTGCTGGAGAAGAATATTGAGCATACCATAGACTGCCAGGAGAACATATAGATCTGTCCTCGAAAGGGTGAAACCAGGTTGCTCTTTGGAGGCTAGGGATTTGAAACTTCATCTCACATACTCTGGGTATGTTACCAAGAGGTAACAGTCGTTGGAGAAGTATATTTTTCTTGGAAGGGTGGATGGGCAGCTTAGGAGATGAAGATACTGGTTGAGATGGATTGACACAGTGACTGGGGTAATGGGGTGTATCAGGATTGGGAACTATTTTTCATAGGGGCACTATGAGTCATAGTCAGCTTAATGGCACATAACCACAACAGTGGTGGCCTAGTTATAACAAGATGTGCAGCATTCGTTAAGGCACATGGTTCGACTATATCAGCTGTTCTATAGGAGATGAGCATCTCCCCATCTTGTGAGATTTACTCCCTCTGAAAACCTTCTGGAAGGTCAACTAGGAGTCACTTCTGACTCCGTGGCACACTACAACAATCAGAGTAACAGTGGGAATGAAAAACAGAGGGCGAAGCACAAATATTAGCAAGGCAGAATGTGTATTTTAGTCCAAATTTGCCTCCAAGGTCACTTCCCTGTGTAGGGTATGTTCTGTGTAATCCTGGCAGCATCCCTCCCATGATACATATTATTCTATAATAACTAAACTTCCTGTCCTTAATTATACAGTATTTGCATATTTGCCCTATCTTCTTTTGAAGTTTTTTGAGTTTGAGACTGTGGGATTGCAGTTCCTATCCCTTCCAGCATCTGTGAACTCAGATGGCATACTGATAAGAAGCGTTAGTTCTGACACCAAAGAAGAATAACAATAACAACAACAACAACATAGCACTTTTGGACCTCATGTGGTGCAGTGCTTAATGCACTTAGCTGCTAACTAAAAGATCAGTGACTTGAACTTATTAGCTGATCCATGCGAGAAAGATGTGGCAGTCAGGTCCTCTACGGGCCTACAGTCTAGAAAACTCTGTGGGGCAATTCTGTTCTGTCTTATCAGGTGATATGAGTCAGAATCAACTCAGTAGCAATGGATTTATTATTTTATTTTGGCTTTTATAGCATCTAATGCAGAATTTGATACATAATAAGCAAACTACTTGAGCAACTGGTGAGCTCAAATTGATGAATTTCAACTGGCCAGTGTCATCCACAAAGATAGTGTTCTACATTCCACTTCAGGGAGTAGTGACTAAAGTCTTAAAAGCATGCAGGCAGCCATCTAGGATGTAACAAGTGTTTCTCCTTGTCCAGACAAAGTAGAAGAAGAGAAGCAAAGTTGTGCCGAAATAGTTCAAAGGACTAGTGGACCAGGAGAACCTCATGAGAACAGAAGAACCAGCTGATGCCTGGCTGCTACACCTGGCCAGATAGAATATCATGGATAGGGTGGAAAAAAACTTGGAACAAAATGGGAAATGGGGGGAAAAACCCAATCAAAACACAAAACCAACAACCAGAAAAACAAGAAACAAACAAAAACACATAAAATTCATTGGCTCCCTGTCCAAAAGCATTAATTGCAAACTCACAATGTAATTTCACTTTTCCTATTTCTTCCCTGTGATTCTTATTTCCATTAGTCCTTCTGTCTTACTCCTTCTAATGCTGGAACACCTGAGACTATGGCCCTTAGTAATCCTTCAAGTCTAGAAGAAAACTCACTCCCATGGCTCCTCTGTCAGCCAAGCAATAGATAAAAGGTGACCAGTAAACCGAAGAGATACACATCAACCATATAAAGAAAAAAAAAAAAGTGTTGGTCCGAGGATAAAGCTCTGAAAGCATGAATGTGCAAACTGAACTATTAATAGGAATATGTATTATAGGGTGGGAGTAAGAGAAGTGATTACATTAATAAATTAGAATTACTAAGTGCCTCTGGAAACAGTGAACATTGAGAAATGATGAAAGTTATACAAGTGTTCAGGTCTTTCGTTCATGGAGTCGTTATGACTCGACTACAACTTGATGACACTTAGTAGCAACAACAGCAGTACACTATACTGTACATGAATGGTTGAATGAAAATAGATATGCTTAGTAAACTCATTTAAATCATAATAAATAAAAATAAGGTAAGGTAAGAGCAAAGTAAAATTGCTGACCTTTTAGTTAGCAGCTAAGTGTTTTAACCACTATCCCTGAAGGTTCTTTACATGATAGTAGTATCACATAGAATCCACTGTTCTCAAAAGTCTTGAAAGAAAAGCTTGGTGGTCAACTTTAGACAAATGAGCCTTGAGAACTATACAAAGCATAATTCTATTGACACATGTTGTCGTTTGTTATTATGTGCCGTCGAGTCGTTTGCGACTCATAGCGACCCCATGTACAACAGCCCTAAACCCTGCTCTATCCTGTGCCAATCTCATTGCCTCTGACACACCCATCCCGATTACCCCAGTCACTGAATCAATCCACCTCATAGAGGGTCTTCCCCTCCTGCGCTGTCCCTCCACTCTGCCCAGCATGATGTCCCTCTCCAAAGACCTGTCTCTCCTTACAACATGTTCAAAGTATGTCAGGCGAAGCCCCAGAATCCTTGCCTCCAAGGAGCAGCCTGGTTTAACCCTCTCTAGGATGAATCTATTTGTTTTCTTGGCAGTCCATGGTACATTCAGTACTCTTCTCCAGCACCACAGTTCAAAGGCGTCAATTCTCCTTCTGTCCTCCCTAGTCATTGTCCAACTCTCTGATGCATAACAAGTGATTGCAAAAACCATGGCCTGTATCAGGCGCACCTTAGTCTCCAGAGAGACACCGTTGCTCTTGAGTACTTTAGAGAGGTCCCTAACTGCAGACTTTCCCATCACAGTACGTTTTTTGATTTCCTGGCTACTGGTGCCAAGAGTGTTCACCGTGGAGCCGAGCAAACTGAAGCTGTGAACAATCTCAATCTCTTCACTATCCATCCTGATGCTACCGATTGGTCCAGTGGTGAGAATCTTTGTCTTCTGGACATTGAGCCTCAGTCCATATTGAAGGCTGCAGTCCTTGACCCTCTGCAGTAAGTGCATGAGGTCCTCCTCAGTTTCAGCGAGCAGGGTTGTGTCATCTGCATAACGCAGATTGTTGATAGATCGTCCACCAATCCTAACGCCACGCTTCTCCTCATAGAGCCCAGCCTCTCGGATAATCTACTCTGCATGCAGGTTGAAAAGGTATGGAGACAGGACACATCCCTGGCGTACACCCTTCCCAATTTTGAACCATGCAGTGTTACCCTGCTCTGTCCTGGAATTAACTTGATAATAGCTAGTTATGATTTAATTTTGCATATATTAATTTAATCAATACTCTCAACAATCCTCTAAGGAATGCACTATTATTATATCAATTTTACAACTAGAGAAAATTCATTATCACAGAAATGAAATTACTTTCTAGGGAGCTCTAGTGGCCTAGTGGCAAGAAGCTGTACTGCAATCCCTAAGGCACTTGGTTACATGGTTCGAGGTCACTAGCTGCTCCTAGGGAGAAGGATGGGCAATCTCCTCCCGTGTGATTAATCGCCTCTGAAAACCCTTTCGAGAGTCAGCTAGTGGTCGCTTCTGACGCTATGGTACACAACAACCACCACCACAGCAAGGTCACACATCTAGGAAGTACTAGAGCTAAGTCTCAAAATAAGGAAGTCCAGTTTCCTAAGTCCATCCTCTTAGCCAATATCTCAAATTGCCTCAAAACTGAAATCACACTGTTTGAATGAAGCCTAGTGATAAGCGGGTTTAAAGTAAAAGAAAGGTTCTGGTTTCACAATATTGAATATAAAATTTTATTTCATTTTTATTTTTTGTGGAACAGCTAGTAAATTTGCTCTGTAATGTTTGTTTCAGAACCAGTTCGAAGATACAAAACTTACCACAGTGATATCTTTAGTACCTCCAGTGAAAGTCCATCTATTATTTCCTCTGAAACGGATTTTAGACAAGGTGAGAGGCATCTGAAAAAACCAAAATATTTTTTTTAAGAAACCTCGATTACAGTTGTGGTTTGATGTAAGTTACACTGAAATATAAGTTTTCAAAAGGAAATAATTCTATGTAACTTTTAAATTGCTGAATCTGTAAGTTATTTGTTTTACAGTATTACAGAAACTTAATTAGCCATTTCCTCAACTATGTAGTCATTTTCATCATAGGAGTAAAAATTCATTGGCTTTAAAAAAAGATTAGAATTTAAGGATTTAAAAACATACCATTAATTTGGTTATTCAAATATGATTTATAAAAATGATCTTGTATGTCTGTTAAATACTTGAATTTTACATTCGACTATTTTCACATTTCTGGAATTTGTGCCATTATTTTTCCTTCACAATCAGTGAGCAGAAGTGAAGCTTCAAAGAGATTTGAGTCCAGCAGTGATCACCCAGTAGATGAAACCCCAAATCAAGGCCAGTCACAAAGACCAAGGTAGGTAATATGAAAGAGTAGTAATAATATATTTCCAGTGACAATTTGTCATTGTTGATTTTTTTCCTGTGGGGATTCTGGTGGCCCTTTGGCATGGGTTGCACTGCCAATTAATTGTAAGTCATATAGTTCAAATCCATCAGCTGCTCCTGGGGAGAAAAATATGAATAGTCTTCACCTGTGTGATTTACAGTCTCTGAAAACGCACAGGAGGGTCAGCTATGAGCAGGTTCTTTCTTGATAATATGAAACAACATACTGGAATCTTTCTTCTTCATTTTATTTTTCTCCTTTTACTCTTTTTTTTTCTTCCTCTAAAGATCTCACAAATAAAATCTGGTCTGTGGAAGACATTTTAATACTTTAAATTTTAGAATTTTAATTACTTTGAATTAAGGCAAAAGCCATAAACATACGTGTACATGCATCTCATAATTATGAACCAATTTCCGTAAAGATTATAATATTAAAAACTCAATTCAAGGTTCATAATAAAAAAGAAGTGCTGCTTTGCTATGTGCATTTTGTATATAGAATGTTCACTCTCAGACGAATATTTAGCTAACTGACATTAGATAACTGCTTTTTCTAATTTATGTGCAAATTTGACTTAAGGGCAGACTTAGAACTCCTTTGTTATCTGAAGACTGTATGTATAGGAATATTTCAGTAACTATATTGGCTCTGATTATTTCTAGTTTGTACTTGAATTTCAAATAGTCAACATAAATATAAAATTGCTTAGTAATGGTTAGGAAGATGAAGGCATGACATTAAAAAATCTGCAAAAAGATAATAAAGCTTGATTTCTAAGAGAACAAGCTTCCAGCAACAGTGTTTCATTTGTTGAATGAATAACGAATAGGTTAATACTAAACAGGTTGGGGTGGTATTTTTTTTTTCAAGTTAATTATTCACTACAATTTTATGGCTTCAAAAGAGCTTATCTTGTTTGGGATTTTTTTAAAGGCCAATTTGGGCTGTTTAAAGTATTTTTTTCGTATTAAAATAGTTGGCTTTCTTAAAAGTATTAGGTATCATTCTTATGATAGGCTTAAAATAATGATATTATAGCTTTGGCTTAAACAGAGAAACCTCAGTAGTAAATATATTGGTGCCTATCCTTTTCATGCATGTAAAAACTTCTTATGTGAAAGATAATGCTAGCCAATCTAAAATATTAATCTGAAACTTGTAGTGTGAAATTAAAGAGTCAGAGTTTTAAGTTTCACTCCCAGATTACAGAAATTATCTTAAACTGGATGTCTCAGACAATTTAATTTAAATGCAATTGTATAGTAAAGAAGCATTTAGAAATTAGCACAAACTGGCCCTCAGATAATTTATTCTGTCCGACTCTGTTTCACACCTGTAAACTATTAATAAACCAGGCACCCATAGCCATGTGATTAAAATGGGCAATTTATCCAGGGTTTAGACTCCAAGTAATTAAATGCATTGCAGTAAAATTATTCCTTAATTAGTGGTGTTGTTTTTATTACATTTATTTCTATTTTCCCCTTCTCGCATGCCTTTTGAAATAACGTGGTATTTTTTAAAAATAATGTTTTCATGTTATACTGGTTTAATTACAAAGTTCGTATACATTGTTTTTTACACTGGCTCTTGTAAAGAAAAAGTTCAGTAAGTATCCATTTACATAAGAAATAGTAAGATAAGCATCTTATTAGGCCCCTGGTCTGTGTTGTCCCCATTTTGATCATTTTGAATGAAGAGGTATAAATCATAAAAATAGATCTGTGTGCTTAATATTCTTTTTGTTAATGAAGCATTTGGGGGTGTTTAGCAATTTAAAAAATATAGAATTGCCTTGTGCTGAATTCAGGAAGAATTTAAAGAAAACCATTTTCTCTTTCTGTTTATTTTGGAGGGGAAAAAACCGCAGATATAATTAGCATGATGGAAAGAAGGATTAGATAGAATAGTTGGAATTACATTGGAATTTTGTCTTAATTGTTGATTAACTCACAATTAGTTTATTATTATTGGTTCCCTAGTTATTAAGCACATATTCCCATGAAATTTTTTATTTCCTAAGCCTTATTTCCATTTTCTTAACAAAAAAACCCTCAAGATTTTAATAGAATGTTCGCTTTAACTGTTCTATATTTTAAGGAGACATTGACATCCATCCCCACCCCGACCCCCCCAGTTCATCAAATCCATGCATGGTTTAGGAATTATCTGTCTTCGAGGGAAAAACCCGCTATGATGTTTATGGCATCTGAATTAGGTTTGTTGTTATTGTTATGTGCCATCAAGTAGGAGCTGATTCATACCTGACTTATAGCTGACCCTCTAGCAAGTTTTCAGAGGTCGTGAACCTCACAGGAAATGATTGCCCATCTCCTGAGGAGCAGCTGGTGAATTTGAAGCATGTGCCTTTGAAGCACAACTCCTTACCACTTCAGAAGCCACCAGAGCTCCATGAGTTAAATATAGGTTCTGGGATGTGGTTGGGGTTTTTTTTGTTTGTTTTTTTCTTTTCCTAAGTGTGGTAGAAAGTATGTGATTTTAATATAAGCTGTTAAACTCTGCTTCTTTTTGACTGGCCCAGTTTCCTGTTCCTACTCACAGAAGTTCACATGAACTGTGAAATAGAGTCTAAATTCCTTATTCAAGTGCAAAACTTTCTGAATGTCTGCAAAGGTTTTGCTAATATCCTTAACATCCTACTACACAACGAGCAGGCCTTGCTTTGTTCTTTAGGCCACATATTTGTCAGCTCCATAAATAGTGCTGTATTTTTTCATGTTGCATGCTTCTTTATAAAAATTTCCATTCCCATTAGTTAGAATGATATGACAAAACAGATTCACACAATGCCATTGATTTATATCATAGGCAGTGGGGGAAGATTAACAGGAAACTATGAGTCAGTTGCAAGAATGAGTAATTTTCAGATTCTGAGCTATCAAAAGTGTCTTTCAGTGACCAGAAAGGGTATTCAAAGATGTTTTCCAAAGAGTAAGCCTTTTATGTGTTAACTTTGAAGTACAGTTTATACATTCCCTCTGCCTCTATGCCTTTCTGCTTGATGAGATAACCATTTATTTTTTCCTGATATAAACCAATCTATTTGTCCCACATGATCCAGACTTTCTGAAGTTTTTGTTCAAATTTTATTTATCTCAGACTAGGTGAATTTCTCCCTGCTACTGCTTTAGGAAAGATAAAATAATAGTTATCGTTTACTCTTCCTGTTAGTATCTGTACTGTAATTTCAGCAAGATAGAGAATATGTTTGCTAGAGTTAAAAATGTGTGGATTCTAATAGTCTATGTGTTTCCTACTGCCAAAGGGACCCTTTAGAGTAGTGAGAGAAGATCTTCATCCTGAAACCCACAGCGTCCCTTTTCAGCAGGAAGTAGCTAAGAGAATACACCATCCCCTTTCCCTTATGAATCAGGGTGAAGTCTCCGCAGGGAGGAGTGATAGGGAATGGCAAAGGACACACTGACAAAGGAGATTAATCAGAACTGGCTTTGACAAGCACTGTGGCAACTGGACAATTAAAACAGACATTTGGGGTGGGGAGAAGAATGAACTGGGGAGGAGGGTAGAGAAAACAGTGCAACAATGAATGAATGAAAACCCAAAATCTCTGTAAATGTTCATTAAAACTAATAAAATTTAATAATAATTTAAAAAAACAAAAAAATGTGTGGATTCAAATTCTTGTTATTACCCTTGGCTCCCATTATTTGAAGAAGAGTCATAAAATCATATTCAATCATTCATTCAACATATTTTTACTGAGCACTTAGCATGTACTTTTAGGCATTGGAGATACAATTATGAACAGGACAGAAAAAGTATCTCCAGGAACTTTGGAGAGATAGAGTATCCCATAATTATGGTACTTCATATGAAAATAAAGGATATAAGGAGTATGTGGAAGTGCTACATTAGTTCTGTTTTGTGCTGATAGGATGATCAGAGAAGAAAAAATAGCACTTGAACAAAAAAATATAGTGAGGTCAGAGAGTGAATCATACATACAGCAGGCAGAGGTGTGTTACTCTAGATAGAAGAAGTAGCAGGTTCAGTAGCCCGGTGACAGTGGAGATGTAATCATCATAGAAGAATATTAAGAAGAGCAGCTTGGCTTCAACAGATCAAGCCTAGAGTAGATGGTTGATGTTCTTAGGTGCCATTTAGGTGACTACAACTGATAGATACCCTATGAACAACAGCTCTGAATCTGGCCCTATCCTGAGCCATTCTCACCATCTCTGATAGGTTTGAGTTCATTGTTACAGTCACTGTCAGTCTATCTTGTTGAGGGTCTTCCTCTTTTTTGCTGACCCTCCACCCTTCCCTGCAAAATGTCTTTTTTCCAAGGACTGACCTCTTCTGACAACATAGTATTTAACTGATTATTCTTTTTTATTTTATTTTATTTTTTAGGTTTTTTTTAACTGATTATTCTTAAATTGTTTTCTTCCCAATACTTACTTTTCTCCTCTTTTTTTGTACAGTAGGCAATACGAAACAACCCTAGAAGGCAGTATAATTAATCAAGAGATCATGCTAAAGCGACAAGAAGAAGAAATGTTACAACTCCAAGCTAGGATGGCCCTTAGACAGTCCCGACTGAGCCTGTTTCCAGGCGATTCCATCAAAGCTTCTATGCTTGACATCACCAGGGATCCTTTAAGAGAAATGGCCCTAGAAACAGCCATGACCCAAAGAAAATTTCGGGTAAGTTCATTCTCACGTGAGGGCACCTGAACTTGGTCTTGCAGTTAACTGTCAATAAAACATCTAATAAAATGACTATTGATATTCTAACGTTGCTTGTAGATATAATTGACATCTCCTATTAATTTACATTGGAGATGGAGATTTTATTAGTTGACATTGAAATAGTATTTAATGGGGTTTTTTCCCCTTAAATTTTATTTTAAAATACTATTGTTGCTGTTTTGTGCCATCAAGACAATTCTTACTCATAGCAATCTTATGTGGCAGTAGAGTGGCCCTATAGAAGTAACTTCCTAGACTATCATCTCTCCAGGTCTATCTTAACTTTGTATTTTGTGGCCTAAAGTCAACTCGTTCCATTCAACATTACAGGGAAATTTATTGTATAATGATAATCCATAAATATATTCATAAGTATCATTTAATAGATGGAATATTTATTATCCTACACACCAAGATCAAGGATAGAGAGATCTGGAGCTGGATAAGAAGCTCAAGAATGTTCTGTGTGTTTCATCCTCCTGCTCTATCCATCCCAGAATTTTGGCAATAATTGCTTTATAGTAAAAATTACCTCACACTCTCTATAAATTTATCCTCTTAACAGCATCCAAAACCAGAAAGGAACAGCTTTTGTTTTGTATTTTATGGAGAATTTCTTTCAAAATAAGTTTATTCTGCTGCTGGGTTTGTTTTTCTTCAAATACCTAATTTTAAATATATTTTTAGAAACATAAGCACAAAATATACATATTATTTCATAACATCTTTAAAACACTCCAGTATGAGAATTTATCACACAATATAGTTTCTTGACTATTTAAATATTTCTTAAACAAATACTTTAATGTCTTTAAATAAATTAGTAGAATTCAAATTTCTCTCATAATATTTTAAAGAGAAATAGCCATTTCAAGTGGTGAAAATTACATCAAATTCTCGTTCTTTGGCTTCAACTGGATTTAAATTAGGTTCCATTCCTCGTAATGATACCAAATGACTTTATGTAATTTTCGAAGCCACTAATACGGTACTGGGAGCTCTGGTGGCCTAGTGGCAGGAAGCTGTGCTGCAATCCCAAAGGCACATGGTTTGAGGCCACCAGGTGCTGTGTGGGAGAAGAATGGGCAGTCTCCTCCTATGCAATTAACAGCCTCTCAAGACTGCAGAAGGGTCACCTGTGGTTCAGTTCTGACTCTATGGTACACAACTGCAACAAAAACAACAATACAGTACTAATTTTTACAATGTGAAATTGATGAGTATAGGGAGTTGTGCTGCCAACCCAAAGGCATGGAATTCAAATACACCAGCTGACCCATGGTAGAAAAATAGTCTTCTCTTGTGCAATTAATTTTAAAACCCACTGGAGAGTCATGTATGGGTCAGTTCTAACAATGGTACCAAACAACAACTACCTAATTAGTGGGTGAACTCTGTTGGCCCAGAGGTAAGAGATGCAAGAGACACTCAGTTTGAATTCACCAGCTGCACCACAGGAGAAGGATGGACATTCTTCTCCCATGTGATCCATAGCCTTGGAAGACCCACTAGAGGGTGAGCTGGGAGTTGATTCCAACTCAACAGCATGTAACAACAATATCTAAGTTTACTAGCTCTGGTTGCTTATTGGTTAAGGAATTGCACTGTCAACCCAAATGCACGTGGTTTGAATTTATTACCTGCTCCATAAGAGAAAGATGGGCATTCGTCTCCAGTCCAGTTTAGAGCCTCTGAAAACTTGCTTGGAAGTCATATCTGTCTTGATGGCAAGGTGTTTTTATTTTTGTTTAATCTATAAGGGAGAAATTCCACTTAATATAAACAATGCCTTTGTTAAAGTTAAACACTTTTTAGAATATCATCCAAAGAAATAATGTAGGCCTCCAGTGTAATAACTGAGTGAGACGTGGTTTTCTCCTCAACCATAATTTCAGAAATGCTAATCTAGAATTTTGGTTTATTGTTGTTCTGTGCTGTTGAGTCAGAACTGACTTGTAACTGACCTTCCAGCAGGTTTTCAGAGGCTGCAAACCACATGAGATGAGATTGTCCAGCTTTCTCGCTACCCACCTCCATCCTGTCCCACAGCATCTGGTGAATTATGAACCGGGTGCCTCTGAGTTGGCAATGCAACTCCTTACCACTAAGAAATCGGCTTTATTAGACACTTACAGATAGTGTTTTACAGTGCTGTGTTTAAAAAGCATGGCTGCTAGCTAAAAGACCAGCAGTTTGAACCCACCAGCTTTCTGTGGTAGTAAGTTGTGGCAGACTGCTTCTGTAAAGATTTAAAACCTTGGGAAATATATGAGGCAATTCTCCTCTTTCCTACAAGGTCAGTATGAGTTGGAATCAGCTCTAAAGCACTGACTGAGCAGACATTAATATGATAATTGTCCTTTTTAAAAAAGTTACTTTTATGTTGGTTTGCATGCAAAATTTGTATACATTGTGTTTCATTTATATACATTGTGTTTCACACATTCCTCTATTCACATTGTGTTTCATAGATCTTTCTCATACATTGTGTTTAATAAAATTAATCACCATTAATCCATGCCCACAATTACCCTGCCTTTTCAGGTCCCCACTGGATCTTTATGCCATCCTACTAAAATGCCTGTAATTTTTTTCTTCAGCATTCACTTTCTGGCAATTTTCAGCACAATTAGCAACATACTTTATCAACAACTAGATAATGTGAATAAACAGTCATTAAAGAACCACAGAAATTTTTTTTCACCCTCGAAGAGGACAGGACAGTTTTTATTCTATCTGAAAAGAAGCTTGTCAGAACAGTCAGTAATGATAACTGAACACCATCTAGTTTCCATGGTGTCAGACCAGAAGAAGTTATGGTTCATTGCATGGGCTAGTAATCCTGTGGACTAATTCCGTTCTTGAGTTTTCTTCACTCCCCTTTGCTCCTGTTGGAAGATACTAATAATTGTATCTTTAATATTGTGTGTGGACATTCATATCACCAGAATTATCACCTGCTTATTATCTAATAATAAATGACTGCTTCTTCCTCCCTGTTCCATCCCTAGTAACCATCAAAAAACAGCTTTGGACAATGACCAGGGAGGATAGAAGGAGAATTGATGCCTTTGAGCTGTGGTGCTGGAGAAGAGTATTGAGAATACCATGGACTGCTAGGAAAACAAACAGATTTGTCCTGGAGAGGGTTAAACCGGGTGGCTCCTTGGAGGCAAGGATTCTGAGGCTCTGTCTAACTTACTTTGGACATGTTGTGAGGAGAGACCTGTCCTTAGAGAGGGACATCATGCTTGGGAGGGTGGAGGGACGGCGCAGGAGAGGAAGGCCCTCTATGAGGTGGATTGATTCAGTGACTGGGATAATTGGGATGGGAGTGTCAGAGACAGTGCGATTGGCACAGGACAAAGTGGAGTTTAGGGCTGTTGTACATAGGGTTGCTATGAGTCGCAGGCGACTCAACGGCACATAACAACAACAACAACAACAACATTTGTCCTTTTATGCTTAACTGACTTCACTCTGCATTATGGCTTCCAGACTCATCTTTCCTGCATAATGGATTTATTATTATTCTTTATTATTGTGTAGTATTCCATTTTCTTTCTGCACCGTATTTTGTTTATCCATTTATTATCCACTGATGGGCACTTAGGTTGTTTCTATGCTTTTGCTATTAGGGATAATACTGCAGTGGACCTAGGCAAGCCTATTTTACTTGTCTCACTTATATACTTTTTGAATGAGATTGCTAGATCATAAAGTATTTCCATGTCTTGCTCTTTTGAGAAGGTGCCATATTGTTTTCCATAGTGATGATACCAGTTAGGAATCACATCAGCAGTGTATGAGTTCTAGTCTTCCTGCAGCCTCACCAGCATTTGTTGCTTTATGTTTATTAGTGCCACTTTTTATAGTTGTGAAATATAATGTCATTGTTATTTAGTTTTCCTTTATGAAAAGGTTCCTGAGGGAGCTCTGCTGGCATAGTCCGCAGAGTTGCCTGGCTAACCAAAAGGCTATGCTTCTTGACCCTCTTGACTCCACCAGCTGGTGTGTAGGTGAAAGATGAACGACCTCTTCCCATGTGATTTGCAGCTTCAGAAACCAAAAGAGAGGGGTCATCTATTAGTTAGAACTCAGCAATGAGAGAGAATGGCTAATGATTATGAGCCTCTCGTCACATGTTTATTATTAGCTTCCCCAGTGCTGTTGTTCGTGATGTATTGCTCATGCTTTGTGTCAATTTTTAATCAGATTATTAGAAATTTTGTTGTTGAGGTTTTAAAAGTTATCTATATCTTTTAGGACTTAAATCTTTGTCATATATATTATTACCAAAAATTTTTCCAGTTTATAGATTCCCTTTTTTTTCACTTTTGTTGTAAAATCTTTTGATAAACATCAGTATTTTTTTCTTAGATGTCTCACTTATCAAGTTTCTCTTCTATTTTTCATGTATTTTTAGCTGTTTAATAGAAGCGGTGTATTTTTGAGGCTAAAAGTATATATGGAAGTATGTGAAAGAACAATTTCACAATTAAATTAATCTTCCACAAAACATAAATTTTTATTTACTTTCTTCACCAATTTCTCTTTAGCTACATGCATTTTAACTTGATCATGTCCTGTTGTCTTAATTGATCTATGTTGATCTTAACTATGTATTTCACCTGGCAGACCATTTTCATTGTTTCTACTCTATTTCTAATGTTACTTAAAATGTACCTAGTTGGCTTGTTGAGTATTAACAAACTCTTAATGCTAAACTATTACGAAATGGAGTTTTTTTACATGTTCCACACAGTTAACTAGATAGAATTCTCACACTAGGCAACCAAGTGAGCTCTACAGCCAATGGCAAATAAGAAACCAACAAAAATAAACCTCCATTAATCCCAGCTATTTCAAACTCAAAAGTATGCTCACCCCCCCTCCCCAATTGCCTCTGTCCTTGAGATTTGTCCTGCTTTTACTTGACTTTTGTCCATTTAAATAAACATAATCCTTCAATCAATGCTATGTTCCAACCTGAAGTACAACATCTTAAAATTACCTCCAAAATAAAATTTTTCCTCTTTGCCGAAGCCTCTTTATAGGACCTGAAATTATGTAGTAAAAGTAAACTGAGGAGTCCTAAATCCAGAGTGCAGACCTCTCTCATTCTCTTGTGTCTCTGTTTTCATTTCTTGATAGGGGTTACAATCAGGGGTAACAAACTGTGTGATACCCATCATTATTTTTTGTTGCCTTTGTGTTGATTCCAACTTACAATGATTCCATATGGTACCTAAAGTTTTCACGCTATGACTTTTCAAAATATATCTCTTGACCTGCATTTGAAGGTACCTCAGGATGGGTTCAAAGTGCCTTCATTTCAGCTTCTGGTTAAGCCTTACTCATTTAGGCCTAACCCTTAGTTAATCACTATTTCAAATGAACAGTCACAGAATCTTAAGAACATGGTTACAAAGGGATATACATATTTTATTGTCACAAAGTACATTTGTCCTTTAGTTGTCACCTATCTTGGGAGAGACTGGATAATAGCTGCTCTAATAACGTTGTTGTTGTGTACTGTCAAGTCACAACCGAACTATAGCTGATCCTCCAGCAGGTTTTCTTGGTAATAAATTTCACGGTAGGAGATTGCCCATAATTCTCCCACAGAGCAATTCATGGATACGACCATAATAGAATTGGGTTGGCAGCACAATTCTTAACAACTTAGTCACCAGAACTCCCTCAAAAACAATGGGATTCCTTTTAATCATATCACATGTTAGCATTATCAAGCCAAATAAGAGCTTCATAACTTGCTTAACTAGTTAACTACTTTTTAATGAACAATATAAAGCAAAGCATTGTATTCCTTATCACTGATATAAAATGAAACTAAGTTCTACACAAACTTAAGATATAATTCATTCCTGTTTCTAAAATATACTATAAAAATTTCTACATGTTTTTAGCTATTTTATCTAATGGCTTTATGATAAATGTGTTATTATCATCATCATTATCATATTCCTTTTAAAGAAAGAGCTAAGACAAACTCTAAAAGCTATTAATCCTACTTGTGTAATTTGCAGAATTTCTTTGGCCCTGAGTTTGTGAAAATGACAGTGGAGCCAATTATATCTTTGGATTTGCCACCATCTATTCTTGTAAGTAATACAACCAATTTGCCTCACTCTTAGTGAATTTCATTAATTGCTGGAAAAAGATATTTCACACCAGTTACAATTATTCTTTAATAGATTTCACTCATGTCTTTCCATTTTAGACCAAGAAGGGGAAGAATGAGGATAGCCGGAGAAAAGTAAACATAATGCTTTTGAATGGACAGAAACTGGAAGTGATCTGCGATACCAAAACTATATGTAAAGATGTGTTTGATATGGTTGTGGCCCATATTGGCTTAGTGGAGCATCATTTGTTTTCTTTAGCAACCCTCAAAGGTATGAAAACATTTTAAATTTGGGGTACAGTACAGAAATTTAGCAAGAAGCTGAGTTCCTGTATTGTTACTCTCTTGCCTGATCTCATTTTGCAAAATACTAATTAAATGGATAAATAGCATGGAGTTGTATTAGTGTGTTAATAATGCCCATCTCCCACCAGGTTCATTGTCCTAATAGATATATTTTATAATTATATTTTCTAAGCTTCTTCTATCCCTGACTATGAAGGTTTTTTCTTTGTTCTTTGTAGTATAGAACTAGATGTTTATTATATTTTATTGACTATTATGTTGTTATTTGCATACATTCCAACTCATAACTGTCCCTTTAGTGGGGTTTTGTGAGGCTTTAACTTGCACAGGAGGAGATTGTCCATCTTTCTCCTGAGGAACTAATGGTGGATTTGAACCATCAGAGAGGTGCCACCTCCCACCAGACTAAGCCACTAGAGTCAGTGTTGTTTTGTTGGTCATTTAAGAAATGATATTGTTAATTATATACATATTTACTAGAGAAATTAGTATCCTGCTAATATAATGGGGAAATCTGCAGTTAGGGACCTCTCCAAATTATTGAGGAGTAATGATGTCAGTTTGAAAACTAAGGTGCATCTGATTCAGGCCATAGTCTTTCCAGTAACTTGCTATGCATCTCAGAGCTTGACAGTGTATAAGGATGCCAGGAAAGAATTGATGCCTTTGAGCTGTGATGTTGGAAGAGAGCACTGAACATCTCATGGACAGCCAAGATAATAAACAGATATGTCTTGGAATGGGTACATCCAGAATGTTCTTCGGAAGCAAGAATGATGAGACTTTACCTCACATACTTTGGGCATGTTGTCTGGGTGGGCTATTCCTTGGAGAAGACATGATGCTGGGAAGGGTGGAGGGTCAGCGAAGGAGAGGAAGACCCTCAACCAGGTAGATGGACACGGTGTCTACTGCAGTGGTGTCTGTGTGTCAGGTAGTATGAGGATGGCACAGGATAGAACAGGGTTCAAATCTTTTGTTCTTGGGTCACTATGAGTCATTCTTAACTTCTCAGCACCTAACAAGAACAATATAGTTTAGAATTTTTAGTAGGGTCCTTTCACCCATTTTCCACATCCTTTGTCTTACTGTCCTAGAAGTACACAGTATTTTTTTCAGAATGCTGTCAGTTGCTGACTGGAAAGAAGTCATTTCATATATTATTTTAAACTTAACAAGTGTTGAACTCCAGAAGGGCAGCAGTCACGGTGTTCTCTGAGCACAACTTCCTTTGAAATCCTTCCTTCTTAATTATAGTAGTCGCAGGTGCAAGGAGCCCTTTGGAGTTGGTCTTCTCTTTAATAAATCTTTATATTTTCAAATTACTGTTGGGCATTTAATTTTTTATTTCCTTGGACATTTTTCTTGGAAACTTAATAAATACCCAAAGGTGACATTCCTGCCAAATGACCCTGAAACATTACAAGATTGTAATGCACTTACTTTGAGAAAATGTATTTCCTTCAACCTAGTGTGTTGAATACTTATTCCTCAAATAATAATAATTATTTGTGTAGAGTCATTCAAAAAGTATTCAGCTGTGTACTCTAATGCTCTCTCACTTTACTAGTGTGAACTCTTGACTAATCATGCCGTGCTATCTATCTTAAGGTATCTAATCCATTAGAATTTCTATTTAATGACGTTATATTGCCATCAAACCTATTCTGGTTGCCCCCCTCTTTTGTTGTTGTTGATTTTTATTTATTTTTCATATTTATATTTTTTCCTACTAGTTTATTTACAAAATTCAAATACAGATTTGAACAAATTCTTTCAATTTCCCTAACCCCACCACCCATCAAATTGTACAACCCAACCCAATGATTAATCCCCCCTTCCCCTTGTACATCCACATCCCTCTGCTTCCAGCCTCTCCCACCCCTCCTGGATCCTTATCCTCATTCTACAATAAGGGTTTTATATAATATTTATCCTTGTGGGACTGAGTTAGCTCACTCAGCATAATGCTCTCCAGTCCCTCCCAAGTTAGGTAATAATTTACAAAGTTACTGATCCTGCATGCTGCATTGTATTCCATTGTGTGAATGTACCATAATTTCTCAATCCATTCATTTGTGGTTGGACATTTGGGCTGTTTCCATGTTCTTGCAATGGTGAATAATGCTGCTGTGAACATTGGTGTACAAATCTCAGTTTGTGCCTCAGTTCTCATATTCTCAGGGTATATTCCATGTAGTGGAATAGCCGGGTCATATGGTATTTCTATGTTCAGCTTTTTTAGGAAGTGCCAAACTGCCTTCCAGAGTGGTTGCACCATTTTACAATCCCCCGTGGAGTTTCTAACAGAACCAAACTATTGCATCTTCCTCCTGCAGAATGACCGTTGTGTTCTTACCATTTGTTTGACAGTTAAATGCTTTAACTACAGTGCCATCAGAGCTTCTGTATGACTTTTCAAACCCATTGCCACTGAGCCATTCTAACTCTTAGTGTCCACCCTATCAGTTTCTGAAGCTATATATCTTAATGAGAGGGACTATTTTTCTCCCATTGATGAATTTGGACTCATGACTATTTGGTTAGCAGCATAGTACGCAATACTCTACACTCCCAGAGTGCCTTTATTTAATTATTGTGGTTGTAGAATACTGTCAAGCTAGAACTAAGTAATAGCTGACCCTCCGGCAGTTTTCAGAGCAGTGAATTTCATGGAGCAGCTGATAGATTTGAACTGTGTACCTTTGTTTTGTCAGTACAATTCCTTACCACACCTCATTTCTTGACCATTCTGGGTAAATGGCCTTTGATTTGGAGTCAGTGAATGTTAAGTGATGACATTTTTAATAAAAAAATAAAAGGTAAAACAATAACACATATTCCATCTAAAATTTAACTAGGAGCTAATGTTGGTGGCTTTTTTTTTACATTTATAATAATTTTTTAATGTTAGTATGTGCTTATTTCTACTAAGTGTTCTATATCTATTATAATAACTATAGAAAGCAGGAAATTAGTTTTTACACATTATTTGATGCTACAGAGAAGAAAAATGGTTTGTGTAAAAGTTAAATCATTTGTTCAGTGCCACACAGAGAGTAAAATATTTGGCCAGGAGTTGAATCCAAGTTGATTTGACTTCATGGCCCTTATTCTTAAAAGATTAGCTTCTAGTACCTTAAAGCCCCTTGTTATATTGCTTAACAGTCTTGTTATTTCTCGGTGAAGAACAAAAGTTTGAAAGAATGAAAATTCTCCATGAAGAACGAACGATAAATGAAAGGTTGATAAAAAAATTGAGAAACAATTAATTTTAAAAATCATTTATCTGAATGTTTTTTTCTCTCTATTTTAGATAATGAGTATTTCTTTGTTGATCCCGATTTAAAATTAACCAAAGTAGCCCCAGAAGGATGGAAAGAAGAACCAAAGAAAAAGAGCAAAACCACTGTTAATTTTACTCTGTTTTTCCGAATTAAGTTTTTCATGGATGATGTTAGTTTGATACAGTGAGTGCACAGACTTTCTATTTTGGCCCCTGACCTTTGGATTTGTTAACTTAGTATCATCACTAAATTGTTTGATACAGAAGAACTCAGAACTTAATGACCATTTTGAAATTTAGTGTATATGCCTGTCATTAAAATCAACCAAGGCTCAAAATCAGAAGTTAAAGGATTTGTGTGTATTTATTTTACAGACATACTTTGACATGCCATCAGTTCTATCTTCAGCTGCGTAAAGATATCTTGGAGGAGAGAATGCACTGTGATGATGAAACTTCTGTGTTGTTAGCATCCTTAGCACTCCAGGCTGAGTATGGAGATTACCAACCAGAGGTAGAGTTTATATTCTTCCCCAAGATCACTTTCATGTGATATAGCATATCCCTAGCACAATCCAGAACTAAATTTGCATGTGATGGGATGAATACTTCTAGAGTTTTTAGTTAGTTTGGCGTCTTTAAATGACCAAATTCCCCATGTTGTTATGTGCCATTGAGTCATTTGTGACTCATAATGACCCTGTGTACAACAGCCCTAAATCCTGCTCTATCCCTTGCCAATCTTATTGTCTCTGACACACCTATCCTCATAACCTCAGTGATCGAATCAATCCATCTCATCGAGGGTCTTCCTCTCCTGCCCTGTCCCTCCACTCTCCCAAGCATGACGTCCCTCTCCAAGTACTAGTCCCTCCTTGCAACGTTTCTAAAGTATTTCAGACAAAGCTTCAGAATCCTTGCCTCCAAGGAGCAACCCGGCCTCACCCTCTCTAGAACGAACCTGTTTGTTTTCCTAGCAGTCCATGGTACATTCAATATTTTCCTCCAGCACCAAAGCTCAAAGGCATCACCTCTCCTTCTATCATCCCTAGTCATTGTCTGATGCATAGCAAGTAATGGAAAAGACCATGGCCTGTATCAGCCGCACCTTAGTCTCCAGACTGACATTGTTGCTCCTCCGTACCTTGGAGAGGTCTCTAACAGCAGACTTTCCCAATGTAATTAATCTTTAAATTTCCTGGCTGCTAGTACCAAGAGTGTTGATTATAGAGTCAAGCAAACTGAAGCTGTCAACAATCTCAATCTCTTCATCATCTAACATGAATGATGCTGCCAGTTGGCCCAGTGGTGAGAATCTTTATTTTCTTGACGCTGAGCTTCAATCCACATTGAAGGTTGCAATCTTTGACCTTCTACAGCAAACACTTCAGATCCTCCTCAGTTTCAGCAAGCAGGGTTGGGTCATTTGCATAACACAAATTGTTAATGAACCTACCTCCAATCCTGATGCTACACTTCTCGTCATAGAGTCCAGACTCTCAGATAATCTGTTCTTCATATAGATTGAAAAGATATGGAGATAGGACACATCCCTAGTGCACACCCTTCCCAATTTTGAACCATGCAGTGTTTCCTTGCTCTGTTCTGACAACTGCCTCCAGGTCCAAGTATAAGTTTCCCGTAACATTGTTTGTATACAATTATACAGCATATTTTTTTCCCCTCTTTTCAATTGTCTCATTTGGGAAATTGATAGATATCTAGCACTTGCCTCTCTTTTCTTCCAGCTTTTGGTTGAGACTAGGTACAAAGATGGCTAGCCAAATGGAGATAAAAGAGATCTTTTATGCCTCCCACATTTAATCTGTTCAGTGATGAACCAAGAAACTAGCAGAGCTCACAGAATATGGAACAGATGTACAACACCCAATGTTTCTGAATATAAATGAGTTTAAGAGGAATCAAGTACTATTCCACTTATGAGCCTCATCTTTATAGCATAAGCCTTAGGTACTGGACTTCTAACCATAAGGCCTGATGCACAGCCTTAAAATCTCAATGCTGGATCACCATGAGTTGGAATCAGCTCCACAGCAGTGGGTCTGACTTTATAGTGACTTGAAGAGATCTTGCATGACACAAATCATTAAGTCTTTGGCTTTTAACCAAAACCTCAGAGATTTCAACCCAGTAGGGAGCATCAATCCAGAAGAAAGGTGTGGTGAGACATTTCCAAAAGCCACTAAAGTCCCTCAGCAGAGTCCTATTACTCTGAAGCACATGGAGATGTCATGATGTTTTTGTATTGTCTTATGCAAGGATCATAGTGAAAGAGGCCCTTGCAGCTTATGGACACATTGACATTCAAGGGTCTCATTTCACTGTGACCTTTAAATTTCAGTGTGTCCATAAACTTGTTACTCAATTTGATCACTCTTCCTCACTGAATAAAAGAGAAGGACTGATGTATTTCTTTTAAAGCTTGTTTCTTAGGAAGAGAAAGAGAAGTAGAACTCTCTTACCCTAGACAGAGACACAAATTCATAAAAAGGAAGAAGAGGGTTCTCTTTTATCCATGGCAAGTGGAATCAGTTACAAAAATATTTTCCTTTCTAGGTTTACGGTGTGTCTTATTTTAGAATGGAACATTATTTGCCTGCCAGAGTGATGGAGAAACTTGAGCTATCCTATATTAAACAAGAGTTACCCAAATTGCATAATACCTATGTGGGAGCTTCTGAAAAAGAGACAGAATTGGAATTTCTAAAGGTCAGTAAGCATACAAGATTGCAAATAATTGACATTTTTGGGTTTTGGGGGGATTTTACATTTTTCCAGAGTAATCAAGAAGTATTGGAGGATATGTATCTAATAGCTAGCCAAATGCTTCTAACTATGCATTATTTCATCTCATTTATTGTTAACTAAAACCTTGTATCGTTGTATACTGCATAATGTCTATTGGGCTTTGTCACACTGAATGCACATTTGTACTACAATGCCTATTAGGATAAACACCTCAAAGCACATGTAGTGACTTGTACTAACAAAGGAGCACTGCTTTGCAATATTCATCAGAACATTATTATTACTCTATTATTATACTAAGGAGGTTTTGGGTTTCTAGAACTATTTCTTTATTATTTCTTATGTACAGAAAAATGTGCTGTCTACAAAAACAAACATTTGACTATTATTTGATACAAACCCACATGTAACTACTTTGACATATACAAATTTGATTTAAAGAAAGGGACCTAGGAACAAAATTCACTGATAATCCATAAATTGTCTATCTGTAGTATGGACTGCAGCCAGGGCTCAATATAGCTGAGATGGTCAAGATGCCACAGGACCTAGGACAGGGTTCAAATCGATTGTTCATAGAGCTGCTGCGAGTCCTATTCAAGGGCACCTGACAACAATAGCAAGCCACAGAGCTCCCATATAATTTTGCCACCATGGTAGTGGTAGTATATGCCATTGAGCCGACAGACTCATAGCAACCCTATGAACAATGACTGTGAACCTTGTTGTTGAACCTCCTTTGCCAACCTCACCATCTCCACTCTCCTGACCCCAATGCCCCAGTCACTATGTTAGTCCATCCCACCCAATAATGTCAATTCTTTCTTAAGGGGATGAATATAAAATGTCTCTGGACACAGATATTTTTAGGTAAACATATATTTTCACTTCTCTTGAGGAAATACCAAAGAGTAAAGTTACTTGGTCCCTTCAGTTGCTAGCGTTCAGCAGTTAGAACCCACAAGCTGCTGCCCAGAAGAATGCTGAGGCAGTCTGCTTTTACGTTTTATGCCTTTGAAAAAGCTATAGGGCAGTTTTACTGTCCTACAGGGTAATTCTGAGTTTAAATCAACTTGATTGCAGTGGGTGGGTTGTTGTTAGGTGCCATTGAATCAAGTACAACTCGTAGTGACCCTATGAACAACAGATCTGAACCCTGTCCTGTCCTGTGCCGTCCTCATCATTTCCAATATGCTCAAGCCCATTGCAGCAGTCACTGTGTCAGTACATCTGGTTGAGGGTCTTCCTCCCTTTTGCTGACCCTCCACCTTTCTAAATATGACGTCCCTCTCCAAGAAATAGCTTCTCCTAACAGCATGTGCACAGGATAGAACAGAGTTCAGGTTTGTTGTTCCCAGGGTAACTATGAGTCATACTCGACACAACGGGACCTAACAGCAACAACATGCCTAAAGTACGTGAAGTGGGTTGATATTTGAGTTGGAGTAGCAATTATAAAATATCTCCTCAGGGCCTTTCTTTCCTGGGACAGCTTTGGGGGGACCTTTATCCCTCTGTCTTCTATGTGCATGCTTGCTATGGTTATATTTTTTCAACAGGTTTGCCAAAGACTGACAGAATATGGGGTTTATGTCTTACATTTAAGTTTGTTGTACATGTTGAGGGTAATATTCATATACTAAGTGAGATAAGAGTTGACATTTAGTTTTTTAAACTGCAGATACCTTGTGGTCCCTGCATCATCTGCTGAAAGACTATCCATTTTCACTTTGAATTATCAGGGAATTGCTGTTTCTTTGTTACTTTTTACTGAAGTTTCTTGCTATGGTTATATTTTTTCAACAGGTTTGCCAAAGACTGACAGAATATGGGGTTCATTTTCACCGAGTACTCCCTGAGAAAAAGTCCCAAACAGGAATACTGCTTGGTGTCTGCTCTAAAGGTGTCCTTGTATTTGAAGTTCACAATGGAGTTCGCACATTGGTCCTTCGCTTTCCCTGGAGGGAAACCAAGAAGATTTCTTTCTCTGTATGTTTGTTTAATCATTTTTTAAAATTATGTTTTAAAACAAATATTGTCTGTTGCCATTGTAACATATTAATTGGCTCATCTTACATAAATTTCAAATCTTATCATTCAGTAGGGCTACTACACCTTAATACTATTTATCTCCTTAATTTTAGGAATCTTATTGGAATTTTGTTTCTCTCTTGTTTTCTTAGGGAATGATTTTAGAAAAAGAGTTTGCATTCCTATCTGGTTATATGCGCTGTTAACTTTTGTTAAATTACAACCAGTTTGACTTTTCTATTAATTCTGAAAGTATTCTTAGGTAATTCTTTCTCACATAGAGAAACTCCTGGAGTGTTCAGAGGAGATCATTATCTTAGCTCTTGGGAGACTTGTCTTGCTCAATAGTAACTTACTCAAAGCAGCTGTATTTGAATTTCCATGACCCAGAGATTTACTGCATTTCATAAACTATATTCCCAGGGCTTTCTGCACTTTGCAGTTTTATGTTCTTTATGGAGATAAGATTGAAACAATGTTTTTTTTAGGTAATAATGTTTATATAAAATAAACTCAGCAATTCAACTAATTGCCACTGAATTGGAACTCACTCATAGCTGACCCTCAAGGGGGTTTTCAGAGGCTGTAACCCACATGGGAAATAATTATTTATCTTTATCACAAAGTAGCAACGGATAGATTCGAACCACTCTAGCTATTTGGCCACTATAGCTTCCTAACAAAAGCATGTTTAAGTCCTGAACATAATTGGAATATCTGAACCTTAAAATGCTGTTGGGTTTACCCAGAGTTGAGCCAAAGGTATACTCTGACCTTTGTTCCCAGAAACCACTCACACTTCAGTTTATATTTGGAATGAAATGCAGTCTGGTGTGAAATACAGTCTTGCCAGATATGCTGATAGGTTATGAGGGTCTTGACTAATTCTAGAAAATCATCAACCTGAAAAACCTTTAAGTTGATTGGTTTCCTATAAAACCCGGAAGTAGCTATATGGTTATTATAGAATAATGTGTTCTCTCAGGAAGGCTTGAGACCACCATCCGCCTCCCATGAATGTCAGGACCAGAAGATCAGCTGGTATTAATTTACTTTCCCCAGTGGAAATGCTGCTAGAAGAGGTATCTTGGAGAAAAACCTCGCATTAATTTAAACCCAGTTTTGAGAAAACACGTCAAAGATAATGTGTACAGATTTGAGTCATTTGACCATTTCCCATCCCAGCCCCACCAAATATAGAACATGCCCTGATCTAGTTAATTAGATCTAAATCTCCATTAATAGAAAGACCACAATCCAATGTAAACTATTATTTAACAGCAGGCATTTGTCCTGAATTTCTCTCCTACACAGTTTCCCTTGTCCTCCACCCCCCCCCCATTTTCTGAGATTGAGAAGCTAGTCTGCATTCTTCTCATCTCTCACAACTAGTTTATGTTGGGCATATTTCTTGTACTGTCCACCACTTAAGACTTAAAGAGAAATCCGATACTATTATGTGTCTCAAACCTGCTCATCTGTTTTGATCTTAATTTTTTTGTCATTTTTCATCATTACTGAACATCTCTAAACTATATTTTTTTAAAGTATGCACTGAATCTTTTATTAAGGAATCTTGACTTGTTAAGTGCTATATTTAAGGTTGTTTTCTAAGTACAGGGTGGGTGGGTTTATTTTCTCTTCATTCACAGTGTGTTTCATACCATCATTTCCTAGAGAGCATAGATCAATGGGGAATAACTTTTTAACCACAATGTATGGGAATGATTGGAACTATGTTCTGTGATATATTTTTTTGAGTAGGTATATGTGATCTATCCTAAATCTTTGTGTTGTTTTCTTGTAGATAGCAGTTTCATGGGTCTTTGACCTAATAGACTATAACTAAGAGTCGATATTTCATATTAATATTTCAGTCAGTGGGAGAACTTTACAACTGTGAAGCTCAGTGCCCTGGCTAATTACGTGATAGTAGTTAAGGTGCATGTCTGTTAAGGAAAAGAAGTCCTCAAAAGGCACATGATTTCAATCTACTAGCTGTTCCTTGAGAGACCAATGGGCAATCTCCTCCCCTGTTAGAGCCTTTGAAAACCACTAGGAGGTCAGCTATGTATGAGTCAGTTCTGACTCGGCAGTAACTAAAACACACACACACACACACACACACACACACACACACACAGGAACAAAAGTAAGCCAAACCTATTACTGTTACATTGATTCCAACTCTTAGCAATCTTCTAACAGATTTCTAAGGCTATAAACCTTTAGGAAGGAGACATGTAAAGAGCAGCTAGTAGGTTTGAACCACCAACTTCTGATTAGCAAACCAATAGTGTCCTACACCAGCAGGGCTCCTTAAATAGTTACTGATTATACAGCTGAAGCCAAGAAACTAATACGGGATTACTGTACATTTAACTCCTATGACTAACTGATTTTTATTTTAAATGAAGAAAGGATTAATTTTATTTTAAAGGATTCATTAGCAATAATAGCTAACCTAAACTTAATAGTATTTTGTTTGGATGGTATTTCTTTTTATACCTCGATTCTATATATGACAAGTAGCACTGGTTTTCTGTTTACAGTTGTCATTTAAAAGTCCTTCAATAAATTTCTGCATGTATGAAAATCCATTTAACAATGAATACAGAAAAAAGAACAGATATTATGAAGGTAGCACTTAAATGATTGACATTTGGTGATACTCTATTACCTGTTCTAAGTCAGTGAAATCTTATTTTTTCTTATGCATATAATTTGAAGTAAGGATATGACTGATAAAGTAGAAAGAACATTTTATGCAGGAGGAATAGCCAAGTATTAAGGAACATAAGTAATTCTCCAGGCACATTAGTCATAGATCCTTGACAAATCAATTGCTAGTCTTTCAGGGTGTGTACATCATTCACATGCCTCACTCCATAGGTGGTAATTAATTTCTGGCTATTGTCTTATATAAGTAATTTTAGTTGGGTGTTACTGAGTGAAGTATGACTCATAGTGACCCTGTGAACAGTGGATCAGAGCCCTGACCTGTCCTTCTCATAATCTCTCATATTTGAGCCCATTACTACTACTGACACTGTGTCAATCCGTCTCATTGAGAGTCTTCTTCTCTTTCACTGACCTCCACCTTTCCGGGCATGGTGTCCTTTTCCAAGGACTGGTCCCTCTTACCGACATGCCCTTATATAAGAGGCCTCCCCTTTTCAAGAAATATTCCAGGGCTGATATTTTTTATTCTCCTTCTTTCCATGATAGTGACAAGATACATGTCTCTAAATGCTGACTTAGTTCCTCTCTCAACCTAGCAGAGTCATGTTACCTGGTACCTCTTCAAGTCCCACATCTTCATCAACTGTTCCAGACTTCATGCCACTCAAATTCTTTTCGACTGAATTACAACTGTTACCATTGTTATATATGAATAAATAATTCTTATTCAACTTCCGTTACTCTAGGGAGTAGAATAGAATATTTGTCACTTCTTTTCCAAACATTTGTATTGTTAAAATGTTGCTGTTGCTCAAACATCAGTAATATCATTAAAGAAAGTCACATTTCTCTTGCTTGAGTCTGTCCTATAATCTGATTTGGGCTTTAATTTCTAAATTTGCCAAGAATATTAATTGTATTTATTTCTATATCATACAGGATTGTTTTTAATAATATGTAGGAACATCAAGGATTACCCGCCCCTAATTATATGAAGTATTAATAATGTCTCTACTTAATTCAGAGAATTCAGCCATGTAAAAGCTCACAGAAATAATTTCTAATTTATGCCTCTATTCAATATTGTAGAAAAAGAAAATTACATTGCAAAACACATCAGATGGAATAAAGCACACCTTCCAGACAGATAACAGTAGAGTGTGCCAATACCTGCTGCACCTCTGCTCCTCCCAGCATAAGTTTCAGCTACAGATGAGAGCACGCCAGAGCAACCAAGATGCACAGGATATTGGTAAGATTATAGAGTATATGCATGGTTAGTCACCCAATTTTTAAAATAACCTTCCTATGATGAAAAGTTCTCATCCTTTTGAGCATGACAAGACATGTATTGTTAAATGATTCAATCTAGTTTATAAACGTGTGACAAGTGAAACTGAGATTTTTAACTTCAGATTCATTTTGAAGACAACACCCAGTAGATCAGTGTCGCAGGATGCCTGCTGAAAAGTCTATTTTGTGTTTAGCAATAATCTAGCTAATGTAAGTAATGTGAAAATATGATCCATGATCTCCCCCCTTAATAAACTTAAAAAACCCAATTTAGAGAGGTAATAACATCAGCATACATGAAATAATAATACATAGAAAGAAGTTGAAGATTTTAGTACTAAGATTGTAGCAAACATATTCTGTGATCTGTATTTAAAGAGATGTAGACGAAAGACTGATGTAGTTGCGAAGTGAAATCTGAATTGGAATTTGAAGGACAAAAATAATTCAAGTGGATTGAAGGACTTTCCAGGTGAGGGAAAGAAGGTAAAATAGGGGTGAGGAATGGTGTGTGCACCCAGGCGAGTGAGGATGCATGCCATCACAATTTTGTGGATGGTAGCTTCCCGCCTCCTGTTAATTTTACCTGAATTCATCTCTATTTTAAGATTGAAATTAATATTTACAGCACCCAGTAGAAATAGTTGAGATGGTGGTTTCAGTGTCTTTTGAAAAGACTGCAGTAGAAGAAGAAAAAAAGCTTTGAAAGGAAAAAAAAAAATTTAAACTTAACTCTGCAAGACTGCACAGATTAAAGTTATGCAAAAATCCAGTTCTGCATAGTAAATTCTTACAGACTGAAGTGAAACATTCCAAAGAGTTAGATTTTTTAAAAAGAAAACTATTAGACTAGCTTTAATGACTTTTTGTGTAGCAAAATCTTGTTAAATTCCTTACCTGAACTTTCCTACATTCTGAAATTTTACAGAACTATTTTACCTTTAGGATAAGACTGGATGTGATCTTATCAGTAGGTTATTTTTCAAACCTTTCAGGATTGGTATGGGTGTGGGGCCATATGCTCATTAAAAACGAAGATTCCAGCAGTCCTCCCTAAATGGTGAAGCACAGTCTCTGGGAATTGAGTCCCTGGGATCTGCATTTTAACACATTATCCTAAGTAAGGATTTTTATGCATGCCAAAATGTAATCACCATTGCTATAGTCTTGTTATTCTTTATCTTTCTCCGCTTTGCTCTTCTAGAATTCATATGCTCTTATTATTTTGAAAGCATAGTAAAGTCTCAGACTCATTAGAACTGTCAACATTCCTTCTTAGGTTAATGTTATAATACCAACTAAAATTGCACAGTTGATGGTTATATCGTTAGAGATGTGGTCTATTGAAGAGTCAGAAAAAAACCTATGAAGCCACTCTTCCAGTCTCAGTTCGTTTCTATTTTGGTTTTTTTTTTTTTTTTTTTTTTATAAAGAATACTATTCTTTATACTGAGAAATAATCAACTTCTCAACTACACTGGCCTTTCATTTACTTCTTCTGAAACTCACAACACAGAATATTTTTTGTATAATCTCCAGATATTAAAATCTTCAGTGCCTACTATATATCATTGCTTCATTTCTGTTGTTATTATCATGCTGAATTGTTAAGAGCATGGTCACCAAAATTAAAAACTCTTAGTTACATGTCTGAGAACCTTGGCAAACTTTTGCCTTTGTTTCCCCATATGTAAAATGATTACCATAATACTGACATTATAAGATGAGCTCTAGTGGCCTAGTGTTAAGAAGTTGTGTTGCCAACCCTAGGCACATAGTTTGAATACACCAACTGCTCTGTGGGAGAAAGATGGGCAGTCTACTCCTATGTAATTTTAAAACCTCTGAATATCTGCAAAAGGGTCAGATATGAGTCAGTTTCAATTTGATGACATACAACAACAGAGCATAAGAAAAATGTGAAGAAAAAATTAATTCTTGACTGCAGAACATTTAGAAAATTGCCTGGCATGGGTTCATAGTCAGTAAATGCATTCATCCTTTATTTTTACTATCATTGTCATACTTTTGTACCACCACAATAACCACTACTAGGAAAGAAATAAGACTTTCAAATTCTTCATCCATGAAATAGAAATACTCTATTTTCATGGATTTGTCCCTGGGATTCATAGGTGAAAACATTTTAAACTTAAATAACATGCTATTAGCTATATCCTTTCTCAGAGTTTTTTTAAAAATCTTTAATAGAATTCTTTTCCACTTAGAATCAGATTAGAAGTAACAGCCCACCTGCTGATTTAACTCTGTACTAAGTATCAAACTATTTACTGTCAAATTGGTTTTGGCAGTTAGATATGTCTTATGTCATAGAGTGGAATGCAGTATCACAGGGATGCCAAGGCTGTAATCTTTCAAAGATTGACATCCTTTTTTTTTCTTCTGGGAATTCTTTAGGTGAATTTGAACCGCCCACTTTTTGGTTATTTGTGGAGTTCATAATCATTTGCACCATCAAAGAGTTCCAACTATATACTCTATAAGTAGAAATAGCTGACATCATCCACAGAATGTTGATGGCTGAAAAACACATACTGCTTCTTTGGAATCATAGAATACCAGTGCTACATAGACTTTACATGTGGCCTTTAAGTCCAAAATTTTGTTGATGAAAACACAGGTTCAGGGGAGAGAAGTGTTTCATCAAACCTCATAGCTAGTTCAAGGTCAGTCAAACTAGGCTGGAACCAGTACCTCTTAGTTCCTAACTCAGTACTTGTTCATATGTTTTTTTTAAGAACTAAATTGCCTGACATTGACTTTACTAAGATTAATAATTGCTACTGAGCGCTTAGTATTCACAAGACATCGTGTTAGGTCCAGTGAGATAATCAAAACAATGAAAGCACCCAAGTTCAGAATCACAGGAACAGAGGAAGCAGAATGAATTGCCAGTTTAAGTGTGGAACTTGGCAAGCCTCTGAGTTAGGTTTAAAGCACTGGTTTTAGCGTGTAATGTAAGCTCATTTGGATGTCCATTTTTATGTGTGGATGATTTGTACTGAAGTCTGTTCTGGATGAAAGCTAGTAAGATAAACTAGATAAATAGTTCATAAGTTCCCTGTGTTTGTGGGTAATACTTTAAGTCCTACTTAAGAGCGGAGAAGGACGGGCAGTATTCTCAGATTAACCACCTCTGAGAACCTGCTGGAGGGTCAGCTATGGGTCAGTTCCAACTCAGAGGTACACAATAACAACAATTCAAGAGTATGCTGTGAATGCATTTGAACAGCATAATCCCTGGTAGTGCTGATAAAATAGGTAAACTACCTACCACTATTCCTGTCAAAGTTTGATCTATGAATTCTTAAGGGTGAAAAATTCTATTGACAATTGACTCTGTGTAAGAGTATTTTATTTTTGCCTCTCTCCAAGTGTAGGAAAATAGAAATGTTATTTGCTCCTGTAAAAACTATGCATTTTAAGTTAAAATTGATACTAGGATTTGTAGGTTAACAGTGTCATTTTGGAAATTTTAAATCAAGTTCTTAACTTATTTTTACTTAGGAGAGAAAGGAATTTAATCATAAAGAGATCCCTCTACTTTATGATTGTGTTAATAGAAGCCAAAGTAAGAGAAAAAATGTAGAATATTTAGTTTTCCCATGCTGCTGTGTGTCAATTCAATCATGTTAAAAAGGCTGAAATATGAAACTGGCATACCAGTGTGAAACACCAAAAGAAAGAATTTGCTTTTAAGTTTTGTGTTTGGTTTTCTTTTTTGTTTTTTTTATCCTGTATTGACTTTATTGAGATGTGATTTACATACCACAGAACTCATTCCTTTAAAGTATAATTCAGTGGCTTTTAGTTTATCCATCCACAGAACTGCGGAACCACCAAATAACCTAAAACTTTTAAAGTATGATAATTTGTTCTTCTCTAGACCCAGCTCTGTTCTGAACGGTTGCTTTTTCATGCATGTACTCACTCTGCAGTCCTGTTCCGGTTTCTTCTCTCCCTCTCCCCATCCTTGCTTTGCTGATACTTAGAAGAGATGCTAGTAGGGCTGAAAATGTCTGCCACATCTTTGGCATTTATGACTGAAGCCTATGATTGGGAATTTGGGGTCAGTAAGCCTGAATCCCTAACTATTACTAGAGCTGGGAGAATCACTAGGAAATGCCGCTATGGTTGTAAGAAAGGCAAAAGGATGGAGAGATGGTATGAAAACCAGGATCCAGACCACCTTTGAAAACTCTTTGATGCCAAGCTTTGAAAGGTACCTGCTTACCTTGGCAATCTGGATAATTACAAATTGCATGCCGTGTTTCCTTTATTAAAATGATGCTTCTCATAAAGGTACTACAGTGTTTCCATCATGTAAAGCAATCCTGTTTCCTTGTAGAGAGAGCTTCGTTTAGGAGCCTGAATCTCCAAGCAGAGTCCGTTAGAGGATTTAATATGGGACGAGCAATCAGCACTGGCAGTTTGGCCAGCAGCACGTTGAACAAATTGGCCGTGCGACCTGTGTCAGTTCAAGCTGAGATCCTGAAGAGGCTATCCTGCTCAGAGCTGTCGCTTTACCAACCATGGCAAAGCAGTTCAAAAGAGAAGAGTGACAGAGCTTCCTGGGAGGAAAAGCCTAGAGGGATGAGTAAATCATACCACGATCTCAGCCAGGCTTCTCTCTATCCTCATCGGAAAAATGCCATTCTTAGTGTCGAATCCCCACAAATCCTTGAGGAGTCGTTGGCAAAACCATTTCAGCAGATGGCAAGATCTGACACAGAATCTTTGGCAGGATTCACAAAACTTAATAAGTAAGAACATTATTAAATAACCCAAACTACATATTTGTAAATTCTACATTTCATACATTTAATTTTTTGTTTGACATCTTATTATTTTCCCCATATTTTTTTTTTCATTGACACTTCCCCTCCTACCTTCCTTGTTCCCCACTTTAGTTCAAAGTCTGTTGCAAGTTTAAGTAGAAGTCCTGAAAGGAGGAAACATGAATCAGACTCATCTACTGAAGACCCTGGTCACGCATATGGTATAGGTCAGCATGAACAAGCTTCTTTCTTCCATTTCTCGGCCTGATAGTAAAAAGCGAGTGAGATAATGGTAGCTATCAAGTGATAAATAATTTAAAAACAAACAAACAAATAGTTGTTGGATCTGCATCCTTCTTGCCAAAATTTATTATAAATATAAAATTTTAGGTTACTTAGATGGCATCAAATATATAAAAATTATTTTTATTTTTTTGATGGCACAGACCAGTACTTCACAATAGATGAGAAACCACAGCCAGCCTTGTATTGTTGCTTTGAGTCACCCCTTTTTGGATTTTCCTTATAAGCCTGTGTGAATGGACTCCAGTTAACACTGGCATTATTTAAAAAAAAAAAAAAAACAACAACTTTGTTTTGGGTGATTTCATGGAATTTGCTCTTAAAAAATATTTTTATGATTCTTATAAAATGTGCTACTGTTGATAGACAGGGTCCTTTGTTGATTTGTATTTTATTCAGTTCTCCAATCTTGCTTTAGACTAGAAATTATTACATATAGAAGTTATGTGTATTTCTTGAATTAGGCGTCTTCCAAGGGAAATACACTGGAGTCAGTTTTTCAGAGTAATAGTGAAGCATATAGATGTGCACCACAGCCCAAATGGAGGCAAGGAAATCCTCTTCTGCTGTTGTTTTACCAAAAGTTAGATAATTTAGCCCTGATGACTTGAAATTAATAATTCTTTTCTATCCTATAATTGGATTAGAGATACATGGACTAAGTGAAGTGAAATAAGAACTCTACTATTGTTGATAAATATTTACGGAAATCAACATTATTTTATTAGTTTAGAGTCTTCTGACTTTTCAGAAGTTATAATATCATCAGCCACCATTGAAACACTTAAAAGCAAAATGTTTAAGTAGCTAACTCTGTGGATTGAAAATAAGATAGCTCTAAGTAGCCTAAGGGGAAAAAAAAAATCTCATAGCCTATGAAAATAGCCTAAAAATTTCATTCTTTTTTGAGATGCTTTTATAACACTGGAATTCTTTAGAGATTATGAATTATTTTTACTAAAAAGGATCTTGTCCACCCGAGATAAGACTCTATCACATATCAAAAATAGACATACATAAATATAACTCATCAAAACAAAAAATAGACTAAAAGTCCCTCATAGATAGAATTTATTTTCTACATTTGATTTTCATTAAAATTATTCATTTTTTATTAAATACTGAATTTTCTTTTAACATGGCCTTTTAAAACTCATTTGTTTGATCATTTCAAATTCGTCAGAAAGAATACATTTGCACTTAAATTTATCCTGCAAAGCAAGTTAATACGCTTTACTTGCATTTAAAAAATTGTAAATATACCCATTCTGAGAATTCTTCTTTTTTCCCTAATATTTCCTAATAAATATCATTAGTCTTAATGTTTTATTAACTTATTAATTTATCAGAAATTATTTATATGTTTATTATCGGATCATTTTATAAAATGTCTAATAATGTAATTTATATCACAGGAATGACTATGCATAGTTCTGGAAATTCTTCATCCCACGTACCCTTTAAAGAAAATGGTAGGTTTACAAAATGTTTCCACCCTCTTTTCCGAAATATCTTTTCTCTTTTCTTGTGCTTTTTGAGTTAGTCTTGGACCTAATATTTGGGTCTTCAGTTCTGTGCAAGGGAGTGTTTAGCCTTACTTTTGAGTCAAAGGAGATTTGTGTTTTTCTGTCACCATGATTGAAGTAATGTGACTCTTGGCTTAGGCTGTCTGATGAACTAGAGAAATTACAGATAAGAGAGAAGGATTTATTTGAGAAGAAAACATACTCATTCAGGTGATTGTTTTCTTCTGGGAGAGCTGTTTTAAAGGAGTGTTTGAGCTGAATCTTAAACAGAAGAAAGGTTTATTGAGGCAGAATAGTGGGTATGAGCATTCCACATCAAGAGGATAGCATGATCGGAGGACGTTAGATGTAAGGCATGAAAAGATTCTAGGATCTGCCGTCTCATTCTTAAGGCATGGGCCAAAGGTAAAGGAAGAGTTGGTCACCAGCGTGTCTTCGAGTCTTAGAATTTGTATGTTGAGATTTCTATTTAGGAAGAAATCTAAAAGGAAATACACCTGTTAAAAGATATACAGACATTCTCTGAGCATTAAAGTCAGTGGGTTCAAATTTATTAGAATTTATGTGACAAGTACTTTGATGTACATTATCATTACCTTTCTAGTAACTTTCATACATAGAAAAGAATGTTTTCATATATACACTAGTGTATTCTAAAAATATTTGAGAAAGCTTTTAACTTCAAACTATTAAAATGTAAATAACCAAAGACTGATAAGAAAGGATGCTAATTGAAACTACTCCCATAGTTAAAATTGTCGAGTCATTAAATTTAGATACAATTTTTGTGTTAGCCAAAGCAAAGAGGAAGGCATAGAACAAGTTGCAGCATATTAAACTGCTGGGTTTGTATGTCAAAAATTATCAAATATCACAGTGCAGTTTTATTTCATTCTCAGTCACTGGTAGAAATTACACAGACCAGTTCTTTCAAGTTGTGTCATTGAATTGACTGTAACTCATATCAATGCTATGAACAATAGATCTGAACCTTGCCTTATCCTGTGCCAACCTCACCATCCCTGACACACTTGAGCCCATTGCTACAGTCACTGTGTCGTAAATCTATCTTGTTGAGGATCTTTCTCTATTAGGGTCTATTACTAAACCTAAGTTACTAAGACAGTGGTTTATAACTTGCTGATGATCATACTTCTTATATGAACAGAGTTTAGAGTACTTTGATAAACTAGAATGGTTTAGTAATTAACCTACCCTTGTTGGTGATATTATTGGCCAGTATTCATTGGATGATTATTATATGCACACCACAACTATAAGTACATCATCTTCACATTTAGTCCATGTAACAGTCTTCTGAGTTATATGTTAATGCTGCTTTCCTTTTTATAGAAGAGACAGTCAAAGAATAAAGAGGTTGAGTTACATAGAAAGCCCTAGAACTAGCTGTGCTGGAGCCATGGTTTGAACTCAGGCAGTCTCTTTCCAAAACCCACACTCTTCAGTACTCTTCAGAACGTCTCCCAAGTATACTAACAAAAACCAAACCTGTTGCTGTGGTATCCATCCCAACTCATAACCACCCTATGTGAAAGAATAGAAATGCCTCATAGGATTTCCAGGGCTATAAATCTTTACAGGAGCAGACTGCTCTATCTTCCATAGAGAGGCTGATTGAGTTCAACCACCATCCTTTTGGATAACAACTGAGTGTTTAACCACTCTGTCACAAGAGCATCTCCCAAGCATAATGCTTGATTATTCTTGGGCATTATTCTCTCACCTAAACTCCGGAAAGAAGGTGGATCACAATCTGTTCAAGAATGCGAACCTTAAATATGTTTTAATATAAATTCCAATTAAAGAAAAGTAGGAATTTGCATTGGCTGTCACATATAGATGTGCAGGGTAGTGTTTCTATTCAAACCTTTGAGGATTCATCTCTCCCCCTGCCTACTATGGAGAAAAGGTTAATCTGCCCCCCCCCCTTTTTTTGAGAGATAGATGTCCCAGTTAATCCAAAGATAAGGCCATGGTTGTCCCCAGATTCCTCTACTTCTCTATCCAAGTGAGCAGAATTAGAACTATGTTGAGAACCTGAGAGTTTCTAAAGGCATAGCAGAGATGTTTTACCAGATAAGGTATCTGAAGATCAAAAAGTTAAATTACTTGTCCATGGGTTTTATTTTACTTTCTATATTCACCCTTTTGATCAAGATTGTTGTTGTTGTTGTTGTGTATGATAGAGTCAGAACCGACCCATGGCTGACTCTCCGGGGAATTTTAAGAGGCAGTTAATCGCACAGGAGGAGATTGCACATCCCTCTCCCTAGAAGCAGCTGCTGGACTTGAACAGAGAACATTTGGGATTGGAGTGCAGCTTCTTGCCACTAGGCTACCAAATTATTATGTGAAAATGAAGAACAGCTACATTAGTCAACAACTATGCACCAAATGATAGACCTGCTAAATACATAAAACAGCTATCAACAGAACTGAAGAAAATTAGACAGCACCACAACGGAGTAGGAGACTTTAACACACCATTCTCACCCAAGGATAGGCCATCTCAAAAGAAGCTTAACAAGGAACAGCTAATGTTGAATTTTCACTTAGTACAAGACTAATGTATAAAATTCAACCTTTTTACAATCTCCAGGAATTCCAAAAGCATGTGAAATTTGAAAGAGAAGATAAAAGAAAAAAAAAAGGTCTTAAGTCATTTAATCCCACACTTGAAAACAGAAACATGGAAAGAATTCAAATCCCTTGATTAATAGTGATTTCCAAATAGCATTGCCCAATCTTCAAAAGAACTCAATCTTTATAATACTCCTATATAAGAGAATTTAGAAAAATTAAAAATTATGCAAGACTTATGTAAAATGGATTTTCAGTGTTTTATGTTTTACTACATTACTCTGCAACATTTGAAAAGTAATGTTTAGCTGAGTTTGTCACATTGTTTCCTAAAGTATTCAAACCACAAAATACATGTTAGTATTTTATGAGGTTGAAAACAGGAAACTCAGTAAAAGACAAATGAGATGAAAAAAAAATCCCCTTTTCTACAAAAAAAGGTTTTTGGATCCACAATAACATGGTAGAGACATAAAATTTCCCCCAATGTTAGCCCTAATTTAGTTTCTTTATGAACGTTCTTAATTTCAAGTAGTAAAATGCTATATGAGTACAAGATTTTAAAACACACTTTGCTTAATCAAGTCTCAAGGCTCAATGTTATTTTGTATGATAATGTTTTCCCTTCTAAAGTCTGATTAGATTATATCCAAAATTGAAAATTATACTGAAAAATGAAAATCTTAATTGCTAACAAAGGATTGAGGAGATAGGGAATTGAGCAGAAATGAAAAGCTAGCATAATTGATGATGCAGAGAAAGGAAAAATGTTCATCCAATTCAAGACTTTGCCCTTTGTGGATGAGTTGAGTCCCCGAAATGCTAATTGACCTCAGATTACTGAACTGATTGGTTGGGCACTAGTAACTCCAGTTTCAGCTATGACCCATCTTATTTGTCACCCAAGCAGAAACTGTGTTAAATAGTGTAACACTTTAAGGAAAATATCTCTCTTTTTCTATTGCTATGATGCTACTAATATATCATCTGCAAGGAATATGATTTGAGAGTCTTCTCCCCTAGAGAGTGTGATTGATTTTTTTTCTATAATTATATTTTATTAATTTTCATAAACATTTACAGAGATTTTGGACTTCCACTCATTCATTGTTGCACTATTCTCTCTACCCTCCTCCCAGTTTGTTCTTGTCCAAATGCCACAGTGCTTGTCAAAGCCAGTTCTGATTAATCTTCTTTGTCAGTGTGTCCTTTGCCATTCCCTATCACTCCTCCCTGAGAGAGACTTCACCCTGAGTCATAAGGAAAAGGGGATGCGTATTCTCTTAGCTACTTCCTGCTGAAAAGGGACGCTGTGGGTTTCAGGGTGAAGATCTTCTCTCACTGCTCTAAAGGGCCCCTTTGGCAGTAGGAAACACATAGACTATTATGGAGATTGATTTTGGAATTTAGATGCACTCTTATTGATTGTGCTTGGCTGTACATGTTCATATCATACATAGATGTATCATGGGGGTGTTGCAACCTAGAAGACACAAATTTGACTAACAAGTTATAAGTACATGAGTCCAAAAATTATGGAAAAGTAAAAGAAAAGATTCTTTCATTGTTTTACAAACCCTCCCCCAGGTCCCCTCCACCATGTAGCCCTCGCTCTAGTCTCCTGTGATGACAGAAATACCCAGTTATATCTCTCTTTTAAACGGTTCTCTCCCTCCTCTGTTTCAGTGCAGTATACATTATTGAACCCATCTTACTCAGTCTCTCCCCAACCCCAAGGACAGTCCCATTCTACAACAGTGGCATCATGTAATATTTGTCCTTTTGTGACTGGGATATTTCACTCAGCATAATGTTCTCCAGAGTCAACCATTTTGAATAATATTGCATGAGTTCCTTGTTTTTTAATGCAGCATAGTATTCCATTGTGCGAATATACCACAGCTTCTCTAGCCATTCGTTTGTTGATGGGCACTTAGGTTGTTTCCAACTCCTTGCTATTGTGAACAAAGCTGCAATAAACATGGGTGTGCATATATCTGCTTGGATGTCAGCTATGGTCTCTTCAGGGTATATTCCCAGTAGTGGAATTGCTGGGTCAAATGGTATCTCTATTTGCAACTTTTTGAGAAAGCGCCGAGAGTGTGATTGATTAAGCTGGAACTCCTCTTTCTGCTGTTTCTCCTTGAATGGATGGCATGGCCATACCTAATAGTTGGCCAGGGTCTATAGCTAAGACAATTAAGTTTTGCTTTATGGCTTTGAATTTTTTGGTTTGTTCCTTTTATGATTGTTTCTTATTGTTTGTTTGAGGTTTTTATTGGTTTTATTTTTGGCTAAGAGAAATCATTAACGCTTGTTTGGATTATTTATCTTGTTTTGGCATC